CCTTCGCTACGATGCCGGTTCCTGGGCGGTGTTTCTTTCCTATGCCGGTTCTGTGGTATCGGTTCGGGGAGGGGGGGAGCTGCGCGGCATGGTGGGGTGCGGGTCTTGGGTCCTGTTTTGGGCTCTGGTTTTTCCGCTCGCACTTCTCCTCTTGCCTATTTATTTTAATTGTAATTATTAATTAATTTATTTTTTTACCTTTTTATTTTTTATTTTTTTTTTTTTTTTTTTTTTTTTTTTTTTTTTCTCTTCCTCGGTGGGGGGGAGCGGTTGCGGGCGGGTCGGTGTCTGGTGTCCGCTGTCGCATTTTTTTTTTTTTTTCTTCTCTTTTTTTCTTTGGGGGGTTTGGCATGTCTGTTTTCTCGGGGGGCAGGCGGGCCTGCTGGGTGGGGGTCCTGCTGGCGGCGCGCCGCTGGTGTGTGGGGGTCCGGGCGGCTCCGGCGGGGGTAGTGTTGGGGGGCCGGTCTGGGCGGGCTGGCTGCGCTGGCTGGGTATTCGGGTGGGTTTTCCCTCCTGGAGGCATGGCGGGGCTGCTCTGTTCCCACTGATCGCGGCGGGTGGGGCTGCGGGGCGGGTGTGGGCCTGGGGTGGCTATGGCCGGCGCGTGGTGGGGGGCCGGGGCGGCGGAGCTGCTCTGGCCGCGTGTCGGGGCCTGGTGCGGGCTGCGGGGGGGGTGGCGGACGTGGCTGGGCTGCTTTGGCATCGTCCGGTGGGGGGGGCGGCGCGGTTCGCTCCGCTCTGGCTTTGTGCTGCCCCTCGGGCTGCTGGGGGGGGTGGTTGCGCCGGCTGCGGTCTGCTCCTCTTGCGGTTTTGCGCCGGGCGGCTTTTCTGCTCTCGGGCTGATTCTGTGCGCGGTGTGTTTCGTTGCGCGCTGTTGGCATCGGTCTTGGTGGGGTGGGGCTGCGCTTTTGGCCGGGGGGGCGTTTTGGGGGGGGTCCCGCGGCGCTCGTGGCCGGTTCGCGGCGGATGCGCATGGGCCCCGGCCGGGGGCGGGGCCGTCTTAGTGTTTTCCTGGGTGGTGCGGTCGCGGTGGGTGTTGCGGCCGGTCGCCGGGGCTTGGTGCGGGGGGGCGGGGCGTGTTTCGGTGCTCTGTGGGGCTGGGGCGTTTCGGTCGGCGCCGTGGGGGGGCTGGTGTTCGGCGCCCGGCCCTACTTCGGGGTGGCCGGCTGCCGGCGGGGCCCGCGGACTCGTCCCCGCGGCTCCCCGGGGCGCCGGCATGGCGGTGGCTGGGGGGCTTCCTCGTGGCTGTCTCTCCTCCTGCCTTGGTGGGGTCTGATTTCCGGGGCTGGCCCCGCCTTGGTGCCTTCGCTTCTGGGGTCCCCTTGGGCGCCTGGGGCTTTGGGTCTCCCGGCGCTGGACTCAGTGCTCTGGGGGGTGTGCCTCTCCGGCTCTCCACAACCACTATTGAGCATTTTTTTCTATGGTTAAAACTTTACATGCACAAGTTCACCCTCACAAACAACTACAGGTGCTAGGCTTCAGGTACTCAGAGATTCACTTCCAAACAGAAACCCCACATTCATATCTTCAGGTAACACAGAGTACATGTCAGACTTAATAATATTACTTTAGTGATAGTTTCAAGGTGTTTGCTTTATTGTATATCTCGTACCATGTTTTTTGGTTGTGCTGTTCTTTTTTCTTTTTTTTTCTTTTTTTTCTCCATCTCATTACAGGTGTTGAAGCAGACTGAAAATGTTTTGTCATTGTCTCCTTCCTATCTCCTCTTTCTTTCATCTTTTGTCCTGTTTTTTTCTTTTTCTTTTTCCTTCTTCTTCTTCTGTTTTTCTGCTCTACTTACATTGCAGTGTCCATATGAACTGTAAAACTCCCTGCATAATTATAATAAAGCAATTTATATACATGAAACAAGTGGAGCGGTATGGCAATTGCGATACCGCTACACTTGTGAAAGTAAAATCTGTTGGGCTCCTTTTGGCATCAAGACAATTATTCTTATTGCCACCTTGCCAGACAGGACACTGTAGAAAAAAAAAAAAAAAAAAAAAAAAAAAAAAAAAAAAAAAAAAAAAAACCAAGGAGATAAACTAAAGTGAAAAACAAAAATTAAGGAGATAAACTAAACTGAAAAACAAAAACTAAGGAGATAAACTAAAGTGAAAAACCAAGGAGATAAACTAAAGTGAAAAACCTAGGAGATAAACTAAAGTGAAAAACAAAAACTTAGGAGACAAACTAAAGTGGAAAAACTAGGGAGATAAACTAAAGTGTAAAAATCTAATGAGAAAAACTTAGGAGATAAACTAAAGAGAAAAACCAAGGAGATAAACTAAAGAGAAAAACCAAGGAGATAAACTAAAGTGAAAAACCAAGGAGATAAACTAAAGTGAAAAACCAAGGAGATAAACTAAAGTGAAAAACAAAAATTAAGGAGATAAACTAAACTGAAAAACAAAAATTAAGGAGATAAACTAAACTGAAAAACAAAAACTAAGGAGATAAACTAAAGTGAAAAACCAAGGAGATAAACTAAAGTGAAAAACCAAGGAGATAAACTAAACTGAAAAACAAAAATTAAGGAGATAAACTAAACTGAAAAACAAAAACTAAGGAGATAAACTAAAGTGAAAAACTAAGGAGATAAACTAAGGAGAAAAACTTAGGAGATAAACTAAAGTGAAAAACCAAGGAGATAAACTAAAGTGAAAAACCAAGGAGATAAACTAAAGTGAAAAACCAAGGAGATAAACTAAAGTGAAAAACAAAAACTATGGAGATAAACTAAAGTAAAAAACTAAGGAGATAAACTAAAGTGAAATACTAAGGTGATAAACTAAGGCAATAAACTAAGGAGAATCAGTAATCAGTGTCGTTTTTCACAGCCATCTTGGATTCAGTCTTCAGGATGAAAACTATTATTAGTCTTAGTCTCATGTTAGTCATTATAAGTGATGGTTTTAGATTAAAACTTAAAAAGATTTTAGTGTAGTTTTAGTCCCTTTTATGTTGCAAAAAAAAAATCACAATAGAAGGAAACATTACCATCATATTTAAATAGATAGAAACAAAAACAATGAGAGAAATATTTAAAGATCTATCTACCTTTTTATCTGGATCTTTATCCAGAAATAAACATAAAGTAATAAAATGTTTTATTTGGATATAATTTAGGGATTCCTTTTGGTAGAAATGAAAGAATGTTTAGCATCACCGCTTGTGAGCTGCAAGAAATAAAATCTGGATAGTAAAGGGATTATTTATACCTGGCAGAGGATGATCAGCCACATCTAGTTTATTAAGCAGCGAGAGCAGGAAGAGCCGTACGGCTGAGAGCGAACCATCAGAGCGGAGCGTAAAGCGCGGACTCTGAGCTAAGCTATGCAAAGACGCATTTCTGCACAAGAACGGCTGGAAGATCAGAGCAGAGTCAGAGTTCAGTGCGCAGTAGCGGATCATTCTGGGTTATTTTCTCAAACCTTCCGCCGCCGCCATGATCCATCTGTGCTCCTGCAGCGCCGCGCGGCAGATGGGCGGCAGGATCAAACGGCTGATACTGCTTTGCTGATTAAAGCACCATGATTAAACGTTTAAACGTCTGACAGAACACCCGCTAATTTTTATTTAGTCTCGTTGACTAAAACTCAAACCTGTGACTAGTCAGTTTTCGTTATCGTCAACGAAATGATTTCGTCATCTTCTCTGTTGATTAAAACACTGCTTTGACGTATTCAGTTTTGTACATAGTATCAAATGAGAAACGGAGAAATTATGTGTTTTTTATTTGAACTTTAAAAATGTTCTGTCAGAAATCCTCCAGTTTAAATGTAGGGAAGAGGAATTGAGCTCCTGGAAAAAAAAAAAAAAAGCTTATTTTTTTATTTTCATTTTAGTTTATTATGTGAAAAAAGTCTGAATTGTGACGGTGTCTTCTGGACGGATGAGTCCCCTGTACCGATGTTGGACCACGATGGACAGAAGCATGTTAGCAAATGTAGCAGCTGTAGGGCACGGCGGTGGAGGCATCATGGTGTCCATGCTGGTATCTGAAATGCAGGTTATGGTTGGGTCAGAACGGAGTGAGCGGTTCTGATCCGGTTCTGATCCGGTTCTGATCCGTCTCTCCTCCTATGTGTCTCTGCAGTCGTGAGCGTCGCCGCCTCCACCATGTCCATCGCCTGGATGGTGGTGGACTACCACCGCTCCCTGCGCTCCTTCCTGCCTGATAAAGCCAAGCAGCGCTGGGGCCCCTCGCTCATCTACTTCCTGTGGAACCTGCTGCTGATTGGCCCCCGCGTGGGGGCCCTGGCCCTCTTCTCCTCTGTCCTGCCCGTTCTCATCGCCCCTCACTTCCTGCTGCTGTGGCTGGTGTTTGTGGTGTGGGTGTGGAAGCAGAGCACCGCCTTCATGGACAGCGCCGGCGGGGAGTGGCTGTACCGGGCCACTGTGGGCCTCATCTGGTACTTCAGCTGGTTTAACGTGGCCGAGGGCCGCACGCTGGGCCGCAGCCTCATCTACCACTCCTTCATCGCTGTGGATGTGGTCATCCTGCTGGCCACCTGGTGGAGCTACCGAGACCTGGTGCAGAGCCGGGCGTACAGCCTCACCCTCATCATCAGCCTTCCTCTCGCCTACCTGCTGGGTCTCCTCTTCAAAGTCCTTTACTACCGCTGCTTCCACCCCAAACTGTTCAGGCCCCCGGACAGGGAGCCCAGGCTGCCCCACGACCTGCCCGACGCTGACGTCACCTTCAGGAGCCTCTCTGTCCAGGACGTGGAGCCGGTCCCCCAGCTGCTCAACCGGCGCATGGCGAGCCAAGCTGCTCGTTTCTACCCCGCCAGGCGAGCCGTTGACACGTCTGATGTCACCAGCTGAGCTGCAGAGATCCTCCATCTTCCTGTTTGTGGTCCGTCTGCAGAGACCTGCTGCAGCAGCACAGACCGACAGGAAGAAGAAGCTCTTCATGGACAAAAGCTAAAAAACTGTCGAGTTCCATCGTTTAAACATTTTTTTCTAATGATTTTACTGACAAATTCCCAGTTAAAAAAAAAGTTTTTTTTCCCTAAATATTCCCTCAGATTGATCATAATCTGTTCCCAGGCTTATATTTTTACTAAATCAAAAGAAATATTGTTTCGGCAGTAATGAGGTTAGCATCAGTGTTAGCATCAAACTCAGAGGGAATCAGTTCATGGAAAACCTGCTTCCTTTATCGTCCTGCTTGATTTCAGGTCAATAAATCGAAGCGGAACAAAAATTTAAATCCCAGAATCCATAAAAGTTTAATTCCTCCTTCAGTTCCTCTATTGAACACTAGATGGAGACAAACAGAAACAAACCTTCAGAGAACCAGTTTGCTCCCAGATAGGAAGCTAGACTGGGACGGACTCCTGTGCTGCGCTCTGATTGGCTGTTCTGGACATTTCTGACCAGGAAGTTGGTCCAAAGAACCTCCAGAATCCTCCAACAGAGACCAGAACAGAACTTTAACCTGGGAGATGAGTTACGGGGATGTTCCCCTATAGATATATATGGTGTTACTGGTTTCTGTCCACAGCAGCCGGAAACGTCCAACATCTACCTCAGGTGGACCGTCCGCCTCCAGATGACATCCTGCAGACACACACCTGGACCTGCCTCTATAACCTCAGTATCATCCTGACCCATTTCCACCTGGTTCTGACTGACAGGCGATTTTTCCCTCTGGTTACCATAGAGACGGGATCTGGCCATATTAAGCAGGAGGAGATGATGATTTAAGACTTTTATGGGATGTGAGGATTGATTCTGTTTAAATGTTTGGATGTATAAAAAAAAAAGATTCTGCTGCCTCTGAGTCTGAATGTTGGACCATCTGCTGGTCCACCACAGGTCCTGCTGCAGCATCTGATGACGGGTCAGATGGTCCACCACAGGTCCTGCTGCAGCAGCTGGTCTCTGATGGGTCAGATGGTCCACCACAGGTCCTGCTGCAGCAGCTGGTCTCTGACGGGTCAGATGGTCCACCACAGGTCCTGCTGCAGCAGCTGGTCTCTGATGGGTCAGATGGTCCACCACAGGTCCTGCTGCAGCAGCTGGTCTCTGACGGGTCAGATGGTCCACCACAGGTCCTGCTGCAGCAGCTGGTCTCTGACGGGTCAGATGGTCCACCACAGGTCCTGCTGCAGCATCTGATGACGGGTCAGATGGTCCACCACAGGTCCTGCTGCAGCAGCTGGTCTCTGATGGGTCAGATGGTCCACCACAGGTCCTGCTGCAGCAGCTGGTCTCTGACGGGTCAGATGGTCCACCACAGGTCCTGCTGCAGCAGCTGGTCTCTGACGGGTCAGATGGTCCACCACAGGTCCTGCTGCAGCAGCTGGTCTCTGACGGGTCAGATGGTCCACCACAGGTCCTGCTGCAGCAGCTGGTCTCTGACGGGTCAGATGGTCCACCACAGGTCCTGCTGCAGCAGCTGGTCTCTGACGGGTCAGATGGTCCACCACAGGTCCTGCTGCAGCATCTGATGACGGGTCAGATGGTCCACCACAGGTCCTGCTGCAGCAGCTGGTCTCTGATGGGTCAGATGGTCCACCACAGGTCCTGCTGCAGCAGCTGGTCTCTGATGATGGGTCAGATGGTCCACCACAGGTCCTGCTGCAGCAGCTGGTCTCTGATGATGGGTCAGATGGTCCACCACAGGTCCTGCTGCAGCAGCTGGTCTCTGACGGGTCAGATGGTCCACCACAGGTCCTGCTGCAGCAGCTGGTCTCTGATGACGGGTCAGATGGTCCACCACAGGTCCTGCTGCAGCAGCTGGTCTCTGATGATGGGTCAGATGGTCCACCACAGGTCCTGCTGCAGCAGCTGGTCTCTGATGATGGGTCAGATGGTCCACCACAGGTCCTGCTGCAGCAGCTGGTCTCTGACGGGTCAGATGGTCCACCACAGGTCCTGCTGCAGCAGCTGGTCTCTGACGGGTCAGATGGTCCACCACAGGTCCTGCTGCAGCAGCTGGTCTCTGACGGGTCAGATGGTCCACCACAGGTCCTGCTGCAGCAGCTGGTCTCTGACGGGTCAGATGGTCCACCACAGGTCCTGCTGCAGCAGCTGGTCTCTGACGGGTCAGATGGTCCACCACAGGTCCTGCTGCAGCATCTGATGACGGGTCAGATGGTCCACCACAGGTCCTGCTGCAGCAGCTGGTCTCTGACGGGTCAGATGGTCCACCACAGGTCCTGCTGCAGCAGCTGGTCTCTGATGACGGGTCAGATGGTCCACCACAGGTCCTGCTGCAGCAGCTGGTCTCTGATGATGGGTCAGATGGTCCACCACAGGTCCTGCTGCAGCAGCTGGTCTCTGATGACGGGTCAGATGGTCCACCACAGGTCCTGCTGCAGCAGCTGGTCTCTGATGACGGGTCAGATGGTCCACCACAGGTCCTGCTGCAGCAGCTGGTCTCTGACGGGTCAGATGGTCCACCACAGGTCCTGCTGCAGCAGCTGGTCTCTGACGGGTCAGATGGTCCACCACAGGTCCTGCTGCAGCAGCTGGTCTCTGACGGGTCAGATGGTCCACCACAGGTCCTGCTGCAGCAGCTGGTCTCTGACGGGTCAGATGGTCCACCACAGGTCCTGCTGCAGCAGCTGGTCTCTGACGGGTCAGATGGTCCACCACAGGTCCTGCTGCAGCAGCTGGTCTCTGACGGGTCAGATGGTCCACCACAGGTCCTGCTGCAGCAGCTGGTCTCTGATGGGTCAGATGGTCCACCACAGGTCCTGCTGCAGCAGCTGGTCTCTGATGGCGGCTCGGCTTGTTTGCATGCTGCCCTGAACTTTGCATCTGTCCGTTTGCTCAGGGTGACGTCAGTGAAGCCGTCTGCGTGGTTGGTTCAGTCTCTCTGCTCTACCTGTGGCGTTGGGTCCACATGTTCTCACATGTTCTCCTGCTGCACGTTACCCTCATGCCGTCTGGTTCCTGCTGTTGCACAGCAGAGCTGCGGTTTTCCTTTAAGAGGCTCACCCAGTGGGCGGAGTTTGGGAAGTCTTTTGAACTTTGGCTTTCGGTTCTTGTTTAATAAGCTGTCAGCAGCAGTAATGTTCCTGCTCAGGAACTGTAAGCATGGCTGTGTTTGAGTTTTCTCCGTTGGATGTCATCCTCGCTTCCTGTGGTCTGCCCCTCTTCCTGTTCGACATAGTGCTGGACATCTGGGCTGCAGTGGAGTTCTATAAGGAGGGGAAATACTGGTGTCTGGCTGTGCTGCTGCTGCTGCTGATCGGCTCCTCTGTCCTGGCTCAGCTCTTCAGCTGGCTCTGGTACAGCTACGATAACTTTAATTTAAACACCACAGTGGAAAAAGGAGTGGAGCCCTGCCTCGGAGTCCTGCATTACGTCCAGCTGGGGATCTACGTCAGGTGTGTCAGCAGCTCCTCCATGTCTTTGATCTGTTCTTTCAGCAGGACTTTAGTTTCTGTATCAGGGTGGAACCTGCTTATCTCGCCTCCTGTTCCTGCAAAGGTTCTGGTTTACAGGAAGCAGCAGCTGAAGCGTTAAATGGCAGGAAAACCCGAATGGATCCAGAACTGAATTAAAAGTTTAGATCTGAGACCTGCGGCTCTTTGTACCCTTTGGATCTTAATAGAGGATAAAATGTATAAAAAAAGCTAAACAATGTGCTAACATATTAACAGTCTTATAAGCTTTAGTGGTTTTTATAAGATGGAAAATAACTTTAAAAGAACCAGAAATGTTTTTAGAGCCATTTTCTCTCATTCCACTGTAACAAGTACAGAGCAACCAAATTTACTGTAGCCCCTCCCCATGGGGAGCAGGGTGGGGTTAAGGGTCTTGCTCAGGGACCTACAGTGGCAGTCTGTGGGAGTGGGGCCTGAACTCAGAACCACTCTAAGCTCTTACCACTACGACGCCATTTTTTTTATTTCGTTTTTGGAAATGATGTGTTTTAATTTGTCAAAAATATATTAAAAGCTAAAAATAGCTAAATTGTTGGCTGAATAAAATGGCATCTAATTAGTTAAAGTAAATGAGTAAAAACATTTCCAGGTTTTTCTTAATTTACTATGAAATTCATTTCAGTTTATTTCTTTATTGAAATTTATTGAATTCATTATGAATTATATAAAAAAAATTTTTAATGATGACTGAGAATCTCCACCAGCACATAATAAATTATAAAACATCAAATAAATAAAAATATTTAGATATTTGCTTAATGTTTCAATATTTAAAAAAATTCTTTCTTTATATAAATTTAAGCATTAAATATTAACCTAAGCTAATGCTAAAATAAAGAGTTATGGACGTGAGCATTTTAAAGAAACGTCTAATAATTTGGTCTCAGTATTTATTAAGATTCGATTAAATTAAACCATAAATGATTTATTGGCTGGAAAGAGAAATCCGATTTTCTTCAGTAATGGGATGTTAGCCGTCATTAACAGCTTCCTAAATAACCAATTTATTCTCGCTGGAATAATTCCCTCCATGTTTTCTTCAATCTGAGGATTTACCTTTGGTTGGAAGGCCTCATTACCATCACCATAATCAGGCCTGAAGGTTTTAGAGCTTTCCCTGATTTCCATTGATTGCTGATGAACAGGCTGCTGCTGAAGCAGGGAACCGTCTAAAACCTGCAGGACAGCGGCTTTGGGAAGACCAGCCATAATCTGTAAGGACCTGGATTAGGCCGCCCCATAATCTGAAATTATTCCTGTCAGAAGAACTAAATCTGTAAAGTCTAACTTTAGACCTGAACCAATTTGGGCTTTAAAAGAAATTCCAACCGACTTTAGATCAGCTGCATTCCTCCTGTCTGGTTTGGTGGGATGGTAGTTCCTGATGTCTCCACTAGGGGTTAATCTCTTCCACACACACCAGGTTTCCAATCGGACCGGCAGCTTCTGCTGCATCATCAGAGAAGTCTGCCTTCCGCCTGTCAGAGGAAACAGGTTTAATGATGAGTCATGCTCCAGGTTCGAGTGGAGCAGTTCCTCAGAAGCATTTTATTGACTTTGTGTAACCTGGTTTTTCCAGACATTTTGCTGTCATGGAGACCGCCGTGAAGAGCTGCAACGGAGGAAGTGAGCCCAAGGATTTGGCCGTGTCGCTGAACCACGACCTGAGCATGCTGAGGATCATCGAGACCTTCTCAGAGAGCGCTCCTCAGATCGTCCTGATGCTCACCGTCATCCTGCAGGAGGATCGTCCGGATTCCATCACAGGTTCACATTTCTTCTAACCTTTACCAGCCTGGAGAAACAAGCTGCTCTCAGACCAAACCTCCATTCCTACGAATCTCAGCCCTGATCGGTCAAAAGCTGCAGCTTGGTCTGCTTTTTAAAACTCAAACCTGATAGATTAGCTGAATGGTTGCTATGGTGATTCCCCCCTTTTCCTGGGGAGCCTCAGTGGACAGAAGCAGACGGTGAAGCTGAAAGATTATTGGTTGAACTGTGATCATCTGAACCAGTTATTCAGATTTATTTATGGAGCTTTAAGTGCAGAAGTGATCAAAGGTCTGAGTAGGTCAATAAAAAAAGAAATAAAAACATAAAAAAGGCATGAAGAACAATGGCTGCAGTAATACCAACCGGTTAAATCAGTGAATAAATAAAAACTCAATGACAGCAGCTGCTAGAAAGTTAATTCTAGATGTGAAGAATTTTATTTGAAACTCATTTTGACCAGATATCAGGAATACACGTTCAGTCAATCAAATGCATATCAAAACGGCTTGCCATAGCAGGTTGGGACCACAGTAACATTACGGGTTTATTTCTTGATATGGTAGTACATTAATGTATCTATTCAGGTGAAATCATCTGTCAGCAGGTGAAGAATAAAAACATGACCTAACAGGTAGAACCTGTTCATCATCTCATGGGTTCCTCCTCACTTTGATTCAGTCTCTTTTACACAGTAAATACTAGGTTTCTGTTTGCAGCTGCTGTGGATGTTATCGTCCCAATAAATGGTCGTTATTAGCGGTAATTATTCCCATAGAATGGCTTCAGACTGTGCCAGGAGGCTCACTAGATTTTTATTACTAAATAAATCCTAATCCTAACCCTAAAGTAATCCCCCCCCCCCCGCAGAATTCATCTATTTATATTTCAGTAGTTCTTCATGTACTGTAAGAATGAATAAAAATGAAAACAAAAACATTTAAATCTCATATCCTGACACTGACTGAAAGAATCCTCTCCCTATAAATATTTAATTATGTGAATTAGACATGCGATGTTTGGTTTTAAAACCTTGTGTGTGGGTGTGGTAGGACCTAGGTAATGATTTAAAAAAAAAATTTTAATGGTTAAAACTACAACAAAAATCGGGTTAAATCAGGAAAAAAACAACGTGATTATAAACAGAACGGAGACAGAGAACAGTCTGACTCATGCCGTTTCTCAATTCACAATAACGCGAGTACGGACTCGTGTTCGTGTTGCTGACCAGGTTAGCTCTGGGGAGAACGTAACTATGGCAACAGAAACAGAGGTTGAGGAAACTCTCATACAATGGAAAACTAGTTTCCCTGATTTCAGGTTTAGAAAACTTACAGAAAACCTGCTTATTGAAACGAAACCCTGGAGGTTCAGTTATTGTTAATATTGTTTGGACATGTCCGACGTTTCGTCTCATAGTTAGACCTCATTGTTAGACCTCATTGTTAGACCTCATAGTTAGACCTCATAGTTAGACCTCATAGTTAGACCTCATAGTTAGACCTCATTCATAGACCTCATAGTTAGACCTCATTGTTAGACCTCATAGTTAGACCTCATAGTTAGACCTCATTGTTAGACCTCATAGTTAGACCTCATAGTTAGACCTCATAGTTAGACCTCATTCATAGACCTCATAGTTAGACCTCATTGTTAGACCTCATAGTTAGACCTCATAGTTAGACCTCATTGTTAGACCTCATAGTTAGACCTTATTATTAGACCTCATAGTTAGACCTTATTGTTAGACCTCATAGTTAGACCTCATAGTTAGACCTCATAGTTAGACCTCATAGTTAGACCTCATAGTTAGACCTCATTCATAGACCTCATAGTTAGACCTCATTGTTAGACCTCATAGTTAGACCTCATAGTTAGACCTCATTGTTAGACCTCATTGTTAGACCTCATAGTTAGACCTCATAGTTAGACCTCATAGTTAGACCTCATAGTTAGACCTCATTGTTAGACCTCATTGTTAGACCTCATAGTTAGACCTCATAGTTAGACCTCATTGTTAGACCTCATAGTTAGACCTCATAGTTAGACCTCATTGTTAGACCTCATAGTTAGACCTCATAGTTAGACCTCATAGTTAGACCTCATTCATAGACCTCATAGTTAGACCTCATTGTTAGACCTCATAGTTAGACCTCATAGTTAGACCTCATTGTTAGACCTCATAGTTAGACCTTATTGTTAGAACTCATAGTTAGACCTCATAGTTAGACCTCATAGTTAGACCTCATTCATAGACCTCATAGTTAGACCTCATAGTTAGACCTCATTGTTAGACCTCATAGTTAGACCTCATAGTTAGACCTCATAGTTAGACCTCATAGTTAGACCTCATAGTTAGACCTCATTGTTAGACCTCATAGTTAGACCTCATAGTTAGACCTCATAGTTAGACCTCATTCATAGACCTCATAGTTAGACCTCATTGTTAGACCTCATTGTTAGACCTCATTGTTAGACCTCATAGTTAGACCTCATAGTTAGACCTCATTGTTAGACCTCATAGTTAGACCTTATTATTAGACCTCATAGTTAGACCTTATTGTTAGAACTCATAGTTAGACCTCATAGTTAGACCTCATAGTTAGACCTCATAGTTAGACCTCATTCATAGACCTCATAGTTAGACCTCATTGTTAGACCTCATAGTTAGACCTCATAGTTAGACCTCATTGTTAGACCTCATAGTTAGACCTCATAGTTAGACCTCATAGTTAGACCTCATTCATAGACCTCATAGTTAGACCTCATTGTTAGACCTCATAGTTAGACCTCATAGTTAGACCTCATAGTTAGACCTCATTGTTAGACCTCATAGTTAGACCTTATTATTAGACCTCATAGTTAGACCTTATTGTTAGAACTCATAGTTAGACCTCATAGTTAGACCTCATAGTTAGACCTCATAGTTAGACCTCATAGTTAGACCTCATTCATAGACCTCATAGTTAGACCTCATAGTTAGACCTCATAGTTAGACCTCATAGTTAGACCTCATTGTTAGACCTCATAGTTAGACCTTATAATTAGACCTCATAGTTAGACCTTATTGTTAGAACTCATAGTTAGACCTCATAGTTAGACCTCATAGTTAGACCTCATAGTTAGACCTCATTCATAGACCTCATAGTTAGACCTCATTGTTAGACCTCATAGTTAGACCTCATAGTTAGACCTCATTGTTAGACCTCATAGTTAGACCTCGAAATTAGACCTCATAGTTAGACCTCATAGTTAGACCTCATTCATAGACCTCATAGTTAGACATCATAGATAGACCTCATAGTTAGACCTCATTGTTACACCTCATTGTTAGACCTCATAGATAGACATCATTCATAGACCTCATAGTTAGACCTTATTATTAGACCTCATAGTTAGACCTTATTGTTAGAACTCATAGTTAGACCTCATTGTTAGACCTCATAGTTAGACCTCATTGTTACACCTCATTTTTATACCTCATAGATAGACATCATTCATAGACCTCATTGTTAGACATCATTCATAGACCTCTTAGTTAGACCTTATTATTAGACCTCATAGTTAGACCTTATTGTTAGAACTCATAGTTAGACCTCATAGTTAGACCTCATAGTTAGACCTTATTGTTAGAACTCATAGTTAGACCTCATTGTTAGACCTCATAGTTAGACCTCATTGTTACACCTCATTTTTATACCTCATAGATAGACATCATTCATAGACCTCATTGTTAGACCTCATAGTTAGACATCATTCATAGACCTCTTAGTTAGACCTTATTATTAGACCTCATAGTTAGACCTTATTGTTAGAACTCATAGTTAGACCTCATAGTTAGACCTCATAGTTAGACCTCATAGTTAGACCTCATAGTTAGACCTTATTGTTAGAACTCATAGTTAGACCTCATTCATAGACCTCATAGTTAGACCTCATTCATAGACCTCATAGTTAGACATCATAGATAGACCTCATAGTTAGACCTCATTGTTACACCTCATTGTTAGACCTCATAGACATCATTCATAGACCTCATAGTTAGACCTTATTATTAGACCTCATAGTTAGACCTTATTGTTAGAACTCATAGTTAGACCTCATTGTTAGACCTCATAGTTAGACCTCATTGTTACACCTCATTTTTATACCTCATAGATAGACATCATTCATAGACCTCATTGTTAGACCTCATAGTTAGACATCATTCATAGACCTCATTGTTAGACCTCATAGTTAGACATCATTCATAGACCTCTTAGTTAGACCTTATTATTAGACCTCATAGTTAGACCTTATTGTTAGAGCTCATAGTTAGACCTCATTGTTAGACCTCATAGACCTCATTGTTACACCTCATTGTTAGACCTCATAGATAGGCATCATTCATAGACCTCATTGTTAGACCTCATAGTTAGACATCATTCATAGACCTCATAGTTAGACCTTATTATTAGACCTCATAGTTAGACCTTATTGTTAGAACTCATAGTTAGACCTCATTGTTAGACCTCATAGTTAGACCTCATTGTTACATTTCATTGTTAGACCTGGTTTGGATTATCTGAGTGTGCAGCTGTTGCAGCTGTCCAGAGGAATTCCACCCGAAGTTAAGTTATTTTCTCTGTGATATCTCTAACTGACTACTTTAAAACATAGCACCTTCTGCTGCACTTTTCTACTGAGCACTTGTCAGTTTCACACTGTTTTATTTCTGATAGCAAGGAGTAGCTAGCCTAGGCTAGCGCTAGCTTAGCATTGCTATGGCTTCTCTCTCTCCCTCCCTTGACTCTTTTCCAACTCTTCCTTCTTCCTCTCCTCTCTCCTGCTCTCTGTGTCAGATGTTCAGTTATTCCTCTGCCTCCTTTAGTGATAATGGGATGTGTAATAAGTGTAGTATTTTTGTAGCTTTGGAGGCGAGGGTGTCAGAGTTAGAATCCAGGCTTCAGGCTGTTGAACATCCAGGAGTTAAAGTAGGCCCCCCACGTAGCTGTCCT